TTATCATGAATACTTATATCGCCCAACTAGCCCAGCCACAGGCCAGCAGAATCAGCGAGTCCTACCTGGCATGCTCGTCAAAGTCCTGTACATCGATGTTTTGTTCGCAGATGCGACATATGGCCAGGCTTTGCTGACTTGTAGGTCCGCTGAGAGTGGGAGTGCGAATGCCTGTGTGCTTCCCGCCACCCCCACTACCGCCCAAAGCAAAGCGACTGTAGGACCCAATACTTGTTTCTGGGGTCTTGCGTTGGTCCGAACCCCCCAAAAAGGAGGGCTGGACCGGAGACAGGGCAGATAGGGTATAGTGATAGTGAGTCATGGTGCATATGTACTGAATTATCAGCCAGAGCTGCAAGGGAACGCGCATTTAGCGTCAAAAGAATATTGCTCCATACATTACGGCGTACGCACTCCAACCAATGCCTTGCCATAGGCCGTTGCCATAGTAACCACCCGCACGAACCATGGCAACATAGAGTGTAGCGCAAAACAATATAAAACCATAAGACAGAGTTAGCTCGCTCAGTCCACACTTTCTATTCTGGATACTATACATCTGTAGCAGTCTTCGTAGCATGTGTGTAGAGGCCTGGCCCAGAGCTCTAGCAAAGGCTCTGGCAATAATCTCCGTCCATCCCCCCCATATGTGTGTATTTTGCTTTCTCCCCCCCCCACATATCACGGATGTCATACACACGCTTGGGTTTGCGGGCGTATAGATACTCGACGGGGAGATATGAGAAACCTCGTATGTCCCAGATAAACAAGATGAAACACCGCTCTTGCGATGTGAAGAGCTCCGTCCGATACCACCCGCCACGTACAGATATGCACACCTTCATACTGCCTTTGGCTTTACTATGTTTGTCTTTATCATTCTCTCTGTCCTTATCCGGCGACGATGGCATCTCCACTGTCAGATGACAACAGAATGCCAAGGATGCAAAGATAATGTTAATGGACAATGTTGTGGCGAATCGAAAAATATACCCCAGATCCCGGATCTCTCAAAGAGTTTTTCAGTGGTATGTAAAACAGAACTTCAAGGATAGAAACATAAAAATTAACGAACAATGTGGTGGAAAATCGAGCATATAGTAAACAAAAAGCGCGTCCAGATGCTCTCATAGAGTGTTTCAGTGTTATGTAGGACACAATTCCAAGAATAAACAGATAATATTAATGCACGATGCTGTGGAAAAACTCGAGAATAAAACCGCGTCCAGATGCCCTCATAGAGTTTTTCAGTGTTATGTAGAACATAATGTCAAGGATAAAACGATAATGTTAATGGACAATACTGTGGAAAAACTCGAGAATAGAACCGCGTCCAGATGCCTTCATAGAGTTTTTCAGTGTTATGTAGAACATAATGCCAACGATAAAAAGATAGTGTTAATGCAAAATGTTGTTGAAAATCGTGCCTATTCGTAAACAAAAACACCCCTAAACCCCCTGCACATACACATACACATACAAATGAGGCGCCAGTAATATAGCCGAGGCACTCTGTACACATTTACCTGAATTCCTTTCGGCCATAGTCAACATGGAGGTTGACGATTTATTCAACGACGCATTCTGATAGAAGTCACTAACAGCACTCTCATTCATGGTACGCCTATTAACATCGCCATCTGAACAAAGGGAAGAACGGACCATGAGTTAAAGGTGATATAGTTTACAGTTGTATATACGTACGTACATACGTACATACATAGATACATAGATATAAGCATACATACATGCATGCATACATACATACATACATACACACATACATACATACATTCATATATACATACATACATACACCAACCCTTCATTTCACTAAACTTACTGCCTTTCTTCAGCCACCGCACCATCCGTCCCCGGAGTCCAGACTTCTTGCCCTCGCTATTTTGAACCCGAAAAGATTGTTCAACGTTCTTCCTTCTCTCAGCCATTGCTTCACGTTGGACTAGTGCTGTGCAACAGCACGCGAGAGCAATAAACGAGCAACATGAGGAAGTTGCGAGGGAAATACATGATAACAATATATAAATATATACATATATATATATATATATATATATATATATAATATATATATATATATATATATATATATATATATATATATATATATATACTATATACTACTATTATACTA